TTTGACCTTGATGTATGACCTTGACCTTAGAGCTGGGGTAATGAGGTGTACGTAACACTGTCTAGTGATGACTCATGTGTGTATGACGTTTTGTAAATTATCTTGAGTAAATCAGATGTTATGATCTGGACAGACAAAAACCTTGTTTTATCTTTGATCTTGATTTATGACCTTGATCTTAAGCGTCACAAAATGGTTATGCGATACTCTGCCTAATGGTGGTACAAATGTGTCTCAAGTTTTGATAAATTATCTTGAGCAGATCAGAAGTTACTGTCTAAAGAAGGAAAAACCTTTTATAACCTTTGACCTTGATGTATGACCTTGACCTTAGAGCTGGGGTAATGAGGTGTACGCAACACTGTCTAGTGATGACTTGTGTATAAGATGTTTTGTAAATTGTCTTGAGCAGATAGAACATTTTGATCTGGACAAACAAAAACCATATTATATCTTTGACCTTGCTTTATGACCATGACATTGAAGCCGGGGGGTGAGAAGATTATGTGACACGGTCAAGTGATGACTCGTGTATGACATTTTGTAAATTATCTTGAGCAGATGAGACATTGTGATCTGGACAAACAAATACCTTGTTTTATATTTGACCTTGATTTATGACCTTTAAGTTAGGGTAATGAGGTGTACGCAACACTGTCTAGTAATGACTCGTGTGTATGATGTTTTGTAAATTGTCTTGAGCAGATAGGACATTTTGATCTGGACAAACAAAAAACACATTTTATTTTTGACCTTGCTTGATTTATGACCTTGACACTGAAGCTGGGTATGAAACGATTATGCAACACTGTCTAGTGATGACTCGTGTGTATGAAGTTTAGTCAATTATCTTGAGCAGATGAAATATTATGATCTGGACAAACAAAGACCTTTTTTTATATTTGACCTTGATTTTTGACCTTGACTTTGAAGCTGGGGATGAAAAGATTACACAACACTGTCTAGTGGTCATACAAATTTGTATTAAGTTTAAATAAATTATGAGCGGATCAGAAGTTAGGGGCGAGACAAGTGAACGTTGAAGCTTTCCCAGAACACGTTCGCCGTTCGACGGGTGTAAAATAAAAAAGGAACAAACCTGATCACGAACACAGAAAACTTCTAACTAAAGCACAAATCCTGATGCTTATTAATGCAACACATGAAAACAAGATTAAATCACAATTGTGATTGTAAAAACTTGGACTAAAAATCAGAACAAGAAACCCTAAGCGAGGCGGCGTGCAGCAAGGTGTAGTGATTGTGTTTTCACGATGTTCTGTCATCTGTATTTGCACTGCACGAGGCCGTCTGTGGACGTTTTACCTGAAATTAGTTCAGAACCCAAAGGAAAACATGGAGCGCTCCAAAAGGCCGATGGCAGGGAAAGGATCAAAGAGGCAGGGAGTCGTGCTGAATGAGTGAGCGATGGGAGGAATTAAAAGCTGCCAGACGCACTGACAGGCCGCTGACTCAGTGTCTGAGAATGAGAAGAGGTGGAGGAGCGAAGGAGAAATAACGTTTGAAAGCTCATCTCTGATAGCTGGATCAGATCCAGACCACACACACACGGACCATCAGATATGGATTTCTGCACAAACACGACCCGGCTGGGTGGGCCTGGCCGCTCCGGGCTCCAGTTGTAGATATTATTCATTTTGATGTCGACTAACACAATGCTGGATTGACAATCGAAAGTCAACACTTGAAGAACGGCTAATTTTACAGTCTGTAATTAAAAAAAAGGAACAATCATTCATTCATTATAGTTGTGAAATGTGATAAACATCCAGAACAAACGAGAAGTTTGTTTTTATCTAAATGCTTTTCTGTAATTTGCTCTAAGAGACTAAAGCATAAAGTCAAATAATCTGTCAGTTTAACGTAATTTCACATGATCATACCCTTCCTGACATGTAATTGTAAGCATTTGAGTTATTTAAGCAAGTGTAGTAAAAAACTACACAAATCATTTCCTCTCACTTTATGTGCAGCCGCTCAGATGTGAGTTGTAAACTACTAATTATAAAAGTAGACATATTCCAGAGAAATTATCCATAATAATAACAAATTAAGACTCTTAAATAAATAGTTGCATATGAAAAGAGATATGTATTTTTTTTTAATTTACTGTCTGTTTCAGATCTTAAAGCACTCACTAAATATTAAACTATCTGGAAAAATTAAACTAAAATGCCTTTTTCCCAGAAATAGTGTAGTAGTTTATGTTTGTACCTGCAGAGGGCAGTAAGCATCTACTATTAAACCCTTACCTGTTCATTTACCTGTGTATAAACAGAAAACTAGTTTATAAGAGATTTGTTTGGATATAAAATCTGTCCTGCTTTAAGCGATAATGTAATAGATGTGATAATGATGTAGGTTTAAAATTTACAAACATTTATCTGTGTGTAAAGTAAGTTATATTTGGTTTATTGTTCACTTAGAAATGTCCAACAGGAATATTTATTAACTAAATATATTCTATTATGACAGCTAAATCTATTATTATAAGTCTAACCTGTTGGTTGGTGAACTTATTTGACAAAAAGATTTGACCGAGGTCAGCATGAACTGAATAAACACAGTTAAAAACAAAAGAATAAATCACAGTATATGTAATAAATAAGTAAAATAAACACATTGAAACTTTAATACTCATTATAATTAATATATACTTTAAACTTAAATGCTACACTATTTTACTGATTGCCTGAAATTCACCAAAAAATAAAACCTTAATACATAAAGTGAATGCATAAAACAGTAAAAAAAAAGTTTAAATTGCTGAAAAATTCTGCAAAAACTGGAATTTTATTGTAAAGATGATGACAATTTTATACTTTACAGTAAAGTACCGGAAATTGCAAAAGTCTTTTTTTTTTTTTTACTACACAAACATAAAAAATATGCAAAATAATCCACTATTAAATAGTTTACTGTAAAAACAACAATTACAATGTGTGACCCAATATGGTAAAAATTTATACATTTATGGTACAATTCCAGTTTTTACCATCATTAGAATTTTACTGTAAAAACAATGAAGACAAAAATAATACGATAAAATCTGTAGAATTTATGTTTTGTTCATTCATTCATTCAACCTTTATTTAGACAGGTTAATCCCATTGAGCCTCGGGGACTCATTTACAAGAGAGACCTGATTTCTTTAACAAAAAGTGATGACAACAATGGATAACAGCAAAAATAGACAATCAGAAAAGAGGCATACAAATATATTTTTTTTAATTTAATTTGAATTTAACTGAATTTACTGTCAAATACCTGTAGCTGTAGCTCCAAAATGTCACCATAAAATCTGCAATGACAGTGTTTACAGTTACAGTTTAATAAAAAATGGTTTTAACTGCTGTAAAAATACAGGCAGTTAAAAACTACAAATGTAAAAAAAATCAATAAAATGACATTTAATTTACGGTAAAATACCAGCATCAATGTTTGCAGAGATTTCAAAGTAAATTCCATAATAGTGTACAGTATGATAAAAAAAAATGCTTTAAATAAAAACTATTGATGTCAAAACTTTATTGTATAATCTACAAATTCAATGTATGACATAATACGGAAAAAAAAAATTAAAAGCTTAAATTATGTTAAAATACCAGCACGTGGGGTCGTCGCAATTTTACCGTACAACCTATGAAGAAATAACAAAACAACATAGTGAAATTTGTAACGGCGACTGTCAGGATTTTACTGTGAAAACTATGAATAATGGTAAAACAGTTCATTAAGAAAATGTTTAATTTACTTTACAATACCAGCAGATGTGACATCCAGAACACAAGAACTACAAACAAAATTTCAAATTGTAGTAAGTGAATCTGTGATCACCTGTATAAACTCTGAAGACAATGTTTGACATACAGAAAAGTTTATTTAATTTACTGTAAATTACCAGCAGCTGTGATTCCCAGATATGCAGTAAAAATGTTAGATTTACGGTAAAACAGCCGTGGTGGACAGAATTATACGTTAAGTTCCTGGGACGATATTGAGCCAGACATGTGGGTGAGGGTGTGCAGGTTGTTTGTCTTACTTGAATTTAGGCAGCGCTGGAGGCACAAAGCTATTAAATAGACAAATGTAAATGGTGGGCACAGCTAAACAAAAAGTTATCTTTGCTAACCTATATTCTGCTAACTTAAAAAATTAGCTTCGCTAAACAGCTAAACGGGGAAAACAATTGCTAAAGCTAAACCGCTAAGATGACTGTCACTCAGTCTGTCACACGTCTTCATCTCCATTCAGTTGAAGCTGCGTCGACCAATCACGTCTTGTCACGTCTAGGCTACATCAGACATCTTTAGACATAGACTTTTTCCGTGTTGCAACTCTGCATGAATGAGGCATCTTCTAATATTGCTTCACTTTTGCCACGTCCAATATGGCGGCGACGTCGATGTATGATTCAGCGCTCCTTGAGGCGTCTATGTGTCTGTGGACCAATCATGTCTTGTCACGTGTACACGTAATAAGCCAATAGCGTGTGTAACGGACTCTTTGAGACACGCCCCCAACAGAGAGGAACAAGTTCGTGTTTTCTGTTAGCGGACTTAAAGTTAGCAAAACATAATTGAGCAGAAGCTAATTCCGCTAAAGTTAGCTAAAACGCTAATACGCTAAATGAAACCTTATTTTTTCTGTTAGCGGATTAGCGGAACTCTGCTCACCACTGGATAAATGTAAAGCAAACCAAAAAATATCACCTTGTGACCATTTACCAGTAGTCCAGTCCAGCCTCTGTTAGAAGGTCGAAGTCTCGGTGTAGCGATGACCTAAGACCACAGTTGTGGCCAGTTTACATTCACGTGTGTGCATTTTAACTTCAGACTTTGTTTCCTCTTTCTGACAAGAAGTGCAGCACATTTTACACATTATCCTGCTTTTGTTCCAGGAAACGGGGAACAGGAGGAATTCCACACTCCCACTTGTGTTGCACAACTTCTCCGTGATTTATGGTTCTTCTTGGTCTGGAGCGAGCCTTTAAAAGCGAGGCCTCAGGCTGGTTTGTGTTGTTGGACGACATCATGGTGTCAAAGAAACTACTCCTCTTGGGCTCTGCTCTTTTCCTCGCTGCCCTCATCTCACACGGTTCGCTGATCTTTTCTAGTCCTTAGTGATTTGCGTTGTGTTGACATTTTTCTGTAACACCTCAACCTCGGTGTGGTGAATTCTTCCAGGTGAGGGGATCATGGGTGGTAGGGAGGCAGTGCCGCACTCTCGGCCGTATATGGCCTCCATCCAGGTCCAAGAAGGGGAGAACCTGAAGCACGAATGTGGAGGTTTTGTGATCGCGGATCAGTGGGTGATGACGGCCGTGCACTGCATGCCTAACGGGTGAGGCCACATTCTTCAGATGCATGCAGGAGATACGTTTTTATCCCAAGCCATCGTTTTTCTCCTGCTGATGAAGTCTGTTCACATGTTAGCCTCTCTTATTTTGCTGTTCAACTGTTCAAATATGTTCTTTTGTGTGGATTATAAAAAAATAACGTCTATGCTTCTTGTTTAGACCAAATGGAAGGAAGGTAGTGCTGGGTGCCCATTCTCTTAGTGAACATGAGAGTACAAAACAAATCTTTGATATTTTGGAGTTATACAATCATCCTGACTTCAGCAGCTTAAATTATGATAATGACGTCGCTTTGATTAAGGTATCAATCTATCTTCAATTATTTGCTTTAAGCACAGTTTTATGCTCAAAGCGCAAAATGACGACCCTTTTGGGTGTTTGTTTTGCAGTTGGACCGTCCGGTTAATATCTCTGACGCTGTTGCAACAGTAAGTTTCCTGCGAGCGGGCGGCGGTACAAACCCCGATCCTGGCGCAGAGGTGGAGACGGCCGGCTGGGGATCCTTGGACAACTTGGGGTTGAGGCCAGACAAGCTCAAAGAGGCGTTCATCGAGGTGCTGAGCTTCAGTAAATGCAGACGCGCCGACTACTTCGGCAGAAAGTTTACCGACAACATGATATGTGCGCACAAATTGGTCCAGGACAACTGCGGTAACTCTCCACGGATTGTGGACAGCTGTGATGTAAGCTCTACCTCTGTCTTTGTTGGGTTATTAGAAGTATTTCGTTAGAATAAACTTGTGAATTCAGGAATCTGTGTTACTGTTTGGTTTTCCTCAGGGAGACTCTGGAGGGCCTCTGCTCTACAACGGCGTTGCAGTTGGCATCACCTCCAATGGTGGAAAAAAGTGCGGCCAGATTAAAAAGCCTGGAATTTACACCATCATCTCCCACTACACCGAGTGGATCGACAGCACCATGGGGGTCCAGACGGCTGCAGAACCCGACCAGAGCAGTTAAATGGAAGAGAAAACAAAAAGTGGCATTCTGCCACCGAGTCGCTGGTTACAGAAGTGCAAATCATGTGAAACTGAAAACTGATTGTATCCCTCTTGTTTTTAATTAAAGAATAAAATACAGCTCATGTCACCACAATGTGTTTGTGTTTTCTTGTTTATTATTTTGTCTGTCTTGCATTAAACAATGTACTTTAATGTGAAAGCACACAGATCTTCAATGGAACAAACCACAAGTGCAAAAGTTGGCTGTTGACAGAGGAAATTTTCAAAATAAGACACATCGTTTACATATTTCATTAGCACGATAAATCATGGACTGAACAAAGTAAGAATAAGTTCAAAAACCAAACTAGCACGACAGAAGACGTTTTTAAAGCTGCAGACTGAGCGAGTCAAAGCCCGTGATGAACCACCAGCTCCTGGGGCTCGGCCTGGCCAAGCCCGAAAGAAAGGCAGGATGCCACCTCCACGTGGACCCTCCACCTGCGAAGAGGACCGTTAAGGTCAGGTGCGATGCATGCCGGGAGACAGGCGAGGGCGGGTCAGGCTCAAGGGACATGGCTGCATAAGTCAAAAACTGTGAAATCAAGTCAAATGTCATGACAATCAATGTCATGGTTAGGTCGCAGCATGGTGGCGCCTGGGGTTTTTCCATGTGGAGTTCAAATGTTCCCTTGCTGGCGTGGATTTTCTCCAATGGTCCAAAAACCTGCATGTTTAGGCTGCCTTGAAAAGAGATCTCCGTGGGGATTACCTGGTTAAAGATAAGTTGGTAAGTGTTTGTCCCCAGAGAATCCTGCATGGAGTCAGAGTGTCTTGTCAGATTCCCGTGTTCAGTGTCATGGTAGCTGTCTGATCACTCATTTAAAGATAATTAAGACACAAAAGTGTTACTACTCTCAAAGAGAGATCTAGAGTGCAAACTGAGCCATGACTGTAATTTAAAATAAAAATATCTCCATGTTGACATTTAGCCCTTTTGTCAACTATTAAAAAGAAGACTAGACTTCTTGTTCTTCGAAAACACTTTGCTACTTATTAAGTTTTTACAAGTCAGAAAAAAAAACATGAACTTTCAAGCTTTTAAACTGTAGTTATGTTCTTTTTTTTTATTCAAAATGAAAAGGCTGGAATTAATGCACGTGAGAGGAAAATGTCTTCCAAACATAAAGAAATTAAAATTGACACCAACATACAAACTTAACACAGTTTGAACAAACCTTGTGTCTCCTGCTAGATATCAATAAAACAAACGTATAAAAGTGCAGCTTGTTCTTTCCTAACCTTCCTGGCTCCAAAGACGAGCTCATAAATGATTCCTGATGTCTTGTGTTGAAATCTTTGGTCTGGAAAATCTCCAACCCACCACTACATTTTAATCTTTTCTGATTTCCTGTGCTGTTACAAAATCCTAAAAAAAATTAAATATGTTTGAATCAGAAAAGCAAAAGTCTGAAACTTGATCAAACTTCTGGTCATTTAGCAGCCAAAACCACATTAATACCATACGAACACCAATAAAACGTATATTTAATGAAGGTTTTATTGGTATTTTATACAACGTAGTTGCATTTCTCACCTAAATGTGACATCACAGTATTTTAAGTTGAAGTTCAGCGCCTGATGAAGGGAGTTACTCGTTCTTCAGTTGGTGGTTTACCTCCAGGACTCCCTCTTTTCTTTCCACAATGATCTGGTTTCTTTCCTGAAGCTCTTGAGAAGAAAATCTCTTCACAACGATGGAGCGACCTCCATGTGAGGCAACCAGTTTGTGTATTCCTGACAGCAGCCCCTTCAGCTGAGGATAGCCCAGGGCGCTGTCGGACCTGGTGATATCAGCTCGAAGTATCGACTCCTGCACTTCCTGAGGAGCTCCTGCAGGCTGGACTGAGCTCCAGTCGTTGATTCTCTGAGACCTGGGCTGGTTCTCTTCAAAGTGAACAAACAAGACGATGGCATGCTCTGCGATCTCTTGACCGAATATCTTTTGCAGGTGTCTGAGGGTCTCGCTCTCTCCCTGGGTGAAACGACCCACTTGGAGCACCAGCAGGAAGATGTGGGGTCTGGGTACGGCCAAGGCCAGGCAGTCTTTGACCAGTTCTACGTTCTCCACCCCGACTTTGTCCCACAGCTCAGGCGTGTCCACCAGGAGGAGCCTCGTCCTGCCCACAGTCATCTCCTGTCTCGCACAAGTCGTGGTTGGAGGGATGGGGTCGTGACCCGACTCGTCGAATGAATATTCCCTCCTTTGTTCAGAATTAAATTTAGAGCCGAAGACTTGAGGCCCAACAGGACGACCGAAATCTTCTTAGCTTCATCGTCTTCAAACAAAGGAGATTTAAAAACTGACGAAATTATTTTATCTGTGACCATACAGAGTGATTCTGAGGCTAAATGTTTCTGCTGATATCAGCTAAAGAAGCTAAACCTGGGCTGTTAAACCTAAAAAGACTGAACACTAGATCAAAGCTAAAAGAATCAATAAAGGAGCTGAAAGCTACAGTGTTAAACAGTTAGTTAAGGTAGAAAAAGGCTAAATGCTAAAAGCAGAAGAATGTAATCTTACTCTAAAAATATTGGCGCAACAGCTAAAGGCAGCAAAAGGATAGCTAAAAGATAAAAGTAGCAAAATGGTGAAGTACCAGAAATGTAGCTGAAAGTAGCAAAAATGAGCTAAAAGACAAAAGTAGGAGAATGCTACCCAAAATACAGTATAAAAGTACCAAAAGGCTAGCTAAAAGCTAGAGCACCCAAAAAAAGTAGATAAAAGTCATAAATTGATAGCTAAAATAGGAAAAGATTAGGTAAATGCTAAAAGTAAAAAATATAGTTAAAAGTAGCAGAACTATGGCTAAAAATTGTAAAATACTAGTTACAAGGCACCAAGACATTGGCTAAAAACTAAAAGTAGCAAAAAGCTACCTAAAAGCAGAGAAATAGCTTGCATATTAAATGGATAGCTAAGGCAGCAAAAGGTTAGCTAAATGGTAAACATAAAGTGTTTCCTTATTCTAAAATTGTCAAAACAATGCAGCAAATGGCTATAAAAAAAACAAAGTTGCAGAAATACAGCTAAAAGTACTGGAAATGCAGCTAAAAGTAGCAAAAGATCAGTTAAAAGATGAAACCAGGAGAACAATACAAAAAAATAAGTGCCAAAACACTAGCTAAAAGTTAAAGCACAAAATAAGCTAAAAGTAAGAAATGACTAAAGTAGCAAAGACTAGCTAAATGCTAAAATTAAAAAATGTAGGTAATAGTTGAAGAACTGAAGCTAAAAGTAGCGCAACACTAGCTACGATTAGCACAAGAAGACAAAAACAGAGCAGTTAGCTGAAGCTGATTTCAAAGAGAACAATATTTTAGGAGAAATTGGAAAGAGCTAAGTTTATTTGCAAATTAAGTTAAATATTTTGAAAAGTATAAAAGTTACATAAGTCAAAAGTCAAAGCAGCCATCTCCAGAATGAGCTGAACACTTTAATATATGAATGGCTAAAATAGCGTAAAGTCTGTAAAAGTAGCTAAATTAAATAAAACAAATGGAAAATAAAAACAGGAAAACAATAGTCTGATTACTGAATCAGCAATAAATGGAATAACATTACAATATGCAAGACAGGAACTTCATATATATATAAATATATTCCACCTGACTGTACCCAGTTGTCTGCCTGGCTTTTTGTTTGGGGATGTTTATAAGTAATAACTCAGAGATGCCACATTTGTTCCTCTTGCAGCAGGAAGTAAACATGTTGGGGTTTGGCAGGGTCGCGTCCTTCGGGTACTCGGAGCGCTCGAGCTATTGCAGCTTGGGAAAGAACGATCAGTTATGTTGGACAGGGAAACAGGCAACACATGCTCTGCCGTGTTTTTGGCCTCTCACAGTATTTTGCTGTCAGAACGGGATTTCACAACCTTCATCCTAACAGCAGGCCCCTGGAAGGCTGAGCCTCGTGCACGCTCGCATGTCTCGCCTTTCAGGATACAGTAAAGTATGTGGACGTTTGGAAGGAGAATACTCAATAGCATAAAACCATGAAACCATCGGAGGTAGATCTGAACGGCTAAACCGAAGAACCATCTCTGACATTCAAACATCTACCTGAGGGGAGGTGACCTCACGTGTCAGGGTCACAGCAGAGTCTAGAGGGCCAGCCTGCCTGTGCCAATTCAAGATGGCTGCCACAGAAAACTGACCTTATTAAACGTAAAAATGGCTTTAACTCAGTCGATTTTACAGATATAAGTATGAAACATAAAAATCAAAGTCTGTGAATTGTTCATTTTTTTAAATGCAATTGATATAGCTTGAAAAAAAAGAAGAAATTGACACCAAGATTTCTGGATCAGTGAAGAAATAAGGAAGTTATAAGTATTTTAGTCTCAAAGAATTGCTTTAGTTTCACTGAAAACCAAACAAACCTGTGACAAACCTGCAATAAACAACTAATTAACAAAACGTCCTTATTTCTTGAGATAACTGGATGAAATTTTCAGGAGAAGGAAATCATATGTTCTTCACATCAACCACCCATGTTCATTATTAACTGATTGATTGATTCATTAATAACTGTAAACTGGATCATCGTATCATGCAAAGGAAATAGGCACTGACAGATGAAAAAAAAGATTAATCTGGGATTAGTTTTACATTAAGCATCGCCACGCTCGGGCTCTCCAAAACCACGTTCTTCACATCAGATTGTTGTGAACGTCAGTCAGTGTTCAGATAAAATATTATATTTTAGTGCTATCTACCTCTGAGAGCTGTTAACCTGAACATGTTTGTTGAGCTTGTTGAACTGGAGCAACATTTTCATCACCCAACTGGAAACGTCAGAATCCATCCAGTTAAAAACATGAAGACAGAGGAACTTCCTGTCGACTCCAAACTGAAAATCCAGAGGTAAAAACTCCTGGGGAGCGATACAAACAATAGGAGGGCGTCTTGGGCACGCTGTGAATAAACACATCGGCCGTGACAGGATTGTGTCATACAACAAATATTGAGCTAAAACTTGTGTGGTAGTAGCTGAGAGTGATCTCCAACACATTCTCTGAGGACTAACAGATAACACAAGATGACAATACCTGTTGTCAACCCTATCTGTCTGTTAGCAAAATACCTCACAAAGCTCTGGATGGGTTTTAATTCAGCTCTTCAATCGAATACATTTCAGAGTCACCTGATTCAAGATGGCCGCCACCGACAACCAACTTTAGCAAACATAACAAGATTTTTGCTGAAAGTTGCTGAAACCAGCCGAAAAGTTTTCATCGCCAAACGGAGTTGAATTTGAACGGCTGACATTTACTGAAAGCAGGAAAAATAAAAGCTGAAAGCAGCAGAAAAACAGCCGAAATATTTATAAAAAGCTGAGTAGAGCAGAAATGTTGCAGAATTGAGCAGAATAAGCTAAAAGAGGCAATGAGAGGCTGAATAGAATACAAAAAGCTGAAATTTGCAGAAGGGTTGAATTAGACACAAAAGCCCAAAATTAGCAACCATAAGAAAAAAGGCTAAAATCAGCTGAAAAATACCAGAAAAATCAGCAAAACCTGAATTTAGCTTAAATGAGCATAAATATTAAATTAGCTAAAAGAAACTGAAAAAAGAATAACAGTGGTAAAATTAGCTAAAAGGAGCTGAAGCAGAACAAAAGCTGAAGTGTGAGCATGCAAAAGGTTGTAAACAGCTCAAAGGGTTTGAAGGACATGAAGAGAGCAACATGGCTGACCAAGCTAAATATTTCTAAAAGTAAAAGTTGCAGAAACACCAAAAGCCACAGCAGGAATGCCCTGGAATGAAGCTAAAGGCATCAAAGCTGCCAGGAGCCTTCACATGCAGCATGGATCTGTGGCTGCTGACAGCATCCTGAAGACTCTCTCTTCGCCTCATGTTGCCTTTTTTCAGTTGCTTCCTTCGGCATGTTTGTCCTCAGCTCCTCCATCTCTTTGTCTTGTCTTTCTTCTTGTTTTTAAACCAGCTCCATGAAAGCCCATTCCCTCTCCTTGGCCTCCTGCACCTTCTTCCTGAGCACGTTCATGGCCGAGTCCTCCAAGCTCCTTCTCTGTGACTCAGCTGCATGCCCTCAGTGTAAGCAGCTGAAGGATTGTCTGTGGCCACATTGTTCACCATCTCATGTAACGCATGCAGACCGCCGCTTGCTGTGGATGTTGCAATCTGGCAATATCATCGCACACGTTTCTCAAATCCACCAGGGCATCGTCTACCCTGTCGATGACTTCTCCATCTTCCAAAGATCAAATCAAATGGTGATGATGTAAACCATTCTTAGTTAAAACTGAAGAACTTAAACTGGAGAGTCTGCGTTTTCTGATTAAATACAGACTTGTTTTCATTCAACCGTTATTTATACAGGTTAGTTAGTCCCATTGAGCCTCGGGGACTCATTTACAAGAGACCTGAGTTTTGAACAAAGAATGATGACAACAGTGGACAACAAAGACAACATTAGACAATCATAAAGGATGCGTACAAATTGGGAATAACAAGTGAAAATAAAATGTTATTTAAAAAAAAATTAACAAACCCCCCCAGCTAGGTTGTAAGGTTATGTAGAAAACTAAAAACAAGAACATGACAGACTAAACAACTAGCTAAAATGACAGAAAGACTAGCTTCCAGACAGTGGCTAAACACTAAAAGTAGCAAAATGTGAGCAAGAACTAGCAGAGGGCTACGCTGAACATTAAAGAGTTAGCTCTGGTAGCAAAAGGCTAGCTAAATGCTAAATGTAAAAGAATGTTACCTCATTCTAAAAGTAGCCAAAAAACAGCTAAAGTTAGCAAATGATGGCTAAAAGATAAAAGTAGCAGATTAGTAGCTGAAAGTACCAGAATTGTAGCTAAAAGAGCAAAGCAAAAGCTAAAAGTAATAAATGGTAAGCTAAAGTAGCAAACGGCTACTTAAATGCTAAAAGAAAAACAATGGTAGTTAAAAGTAAAAGAACTGAAATTAAAGGTAGCAAAAGATTAGCTAAGACAATTAAAGTAGAAGATAACGAAAAGATAAAAAAAAAGCAAAAGGGCTAGCTAAAAGCACCAAGATGTACAAAAACACTATCTAGAAGCTAAAAGTGCCAAAAGGATAGTTAACAAACAGTAACACAAAGGTAGCTAAAGATAAGCTACAATGACCAAAAAATTGGGTAAAAAGGTGATGGATTGTAGTATCATCTGCGCCTGCGCGTTGCTGCCCGCAGCTGTCACAACACAACGGTCCATTCCGAGACCATACCATCTTGACTAAAAGGGGGAACATTCACTAAAGTCGGAGTGGTACATTCCTCGGATCATGTTTTTTGCTACATTTAACATAATTTCGTGAAAGCTCTGATAATGCTTAAACCTTTACGTAACTTTTGTTTTATAAGGAAAAAAAAGAGTACATCGAAGTATCGGAAAGCCCATTTGTAACCCCCCTCCCGTTCACGCAGTGGTTCGCTCCGTTACTATGTTGTCATTTGTGAAGTGATGGAGAGGAAACACTAGGGCCTGGAAATTAATAAATCTGACTGTATTTTTGTGTCCAGAGTGAAAGCTCCTGGCCATGGCCGGCATGAGGAGAGTAAACGGGAAGTTCTCCAGAATCAACCCGGCTGTCAGGTGAAGTTTTGTGGGCTTGTATTTCCAGTAACCGCCTCATTGTTGATGCTGTGTCCAGCTAAGTTAGCATTAGCATCATGGCTGTCAGTTAAGGACGTTACAACTTTTTATAAACGTTAAAAAACAAGCTAACGAGCGTTAAATTAGCATCGACTGTGGATTGTGTGCAAATATTGGAATGCTCCAGGAAAATTACCGAAGCTAATGATGTAAACTAAAATCTAGTACATTTAAGAAAATTTTGTTTGCAAAAAAAAAAAAAGTAAACAAGTCAAACGTTAGTGTGACATCTTCAACTGCCAGTTAAACATTTCACGGTGAAACAAGTAAAAACTGTGATTCTTTTTTTCTCGAACTTGATGTGAAAACTGTTCCAAATGTTAAAAACAGAAGTCAAATCGTATTAAACTTTCTGTAACCAGTTTAACTTTCATGCATGAGTTTTGATAACTTCAGCCAGGATTTGTTTCCAGTGGTTTTATTTGTCTTAGAGCATAAAAAAGGGGTGGCAAAATAATTTTGTTTAAATGTTGTTTCTTCAAGAAGCTCTCCTCATGGACAGCGTACGTTTTTGGATGCGTTATTAATGAAATACTGTGTGCTAGCTATAATGTGAACATGTTTAGAAATATTTAGCAAAACTAAAAGCATAAACACAGAACTCTGCATACAACTCATTATATTATTCACTACTGTCTCATCCCTTGCTTCACTCCCTCTCATTCGACCTCTTGATTTCACTTTTTAGTCTTATCCGAGCTTCTTCTTTTAACAGCTTCATATTTTAGGGGACTTTTTTTAAATTTTATTTTACAATAACAATACTGCACATGACACTTCAGCCATTCTGTTATATGTAACTCAGCAGTACAATCTCTTCAGTTTCAGATTTATACATTAATGCTACAAGTCTATCTTGTATGAAATTTTGCAAAGCACCCAGGGTACCAAGCCACAGCACACTACATGCAGATGTATTTGGATTTTTGTGTGCAGGCTGGATTATTGCATCTGTTTGTATTTTTTGCTTCATTCAGCTGGGGCCAGTGTTCTCCAGGGCCAAACCTGAACTTGAGGTGCTTTAAACACTACTCTGAGTTGGCACTGGGTCTTTTGTACATCTGGATGGACCCTCATTTATTAGCACATTAGCTACAGGTGCCTTCAAATGTAGAAGAGCCATCTTCTCCAACTCAGACATTCTGTACAGGTGCCAGGCATCGACAACAGTCAGGTCAGAGAAGTGAAAAAACACTCAGATGTACCATCGTTTGTTTTTTCTTCTGTGAGGATACATCGCCACACATTGATCCATGAGATATATTCCTCCCATATGCAGATTGTAGAGTTACAGAAAGTGGTCTTTGGGTGTTGAGCATCCTTTTTTCTTTCTTGCTCCATCTCTGGGCCAAATCTGGTGGAGGCAGACCAGAGCAAGAAGAGGCCACTGAGCTGTCCAGCCAGCATGTGATGTTGATGTTTTCAGCATTACTGACGACACAACAAGATCCTCTTCCTTCTTTCTGAGTTGCTTTTCACTCTTTAGTGTCAGTGGTCCACGCCTGTTGATTCTGCTGGTACTGGTACCGTAGGTCCCTGCTGCTGCAGAGCCTGAATGAGTGGAGGCAGCAGGCAGTGGCTCCACTACCTTGTAGACTTTTCTACTCACTGCATCCGAGTTCTACAAAATATAAAACCCTTACTTGTTACTCCTATGATGACGACAACAAACTTTTTTCCTTTTTAAATTTTCAAGTTTTGTACTAAAATGTAATTCCATGTATTTACTGCAAAACGCTGCAGATGGTGTATATTCTAGATTAGAACAACAGTCAGAGTAAAAGTATGAAGTGCTGTTAAAATGTAGCCAGTGACGTCTAATCTATTGGATAGTTGATCAATTATACTTTTCTCCCAATATATAGTTAATATTTGGAAAATATATCAGCAGTATTACTCTTTAGTTGTTACTTGATGTTGCCTTTGTTTTTTGTTTTTTTTACCTGCAAGGACCTTCTTCTGTAACACTCAGGATATTGCTGAGCTGCACTTTCAGTAGATAGCCAGTAGATGGCAGTGTATTTCATGATCTACTAGTGTCCAGTTTGTAGTTATGAGGTTATAACATAAAACCCCAACACATGTACAAGAAAATGGCTTTGATGGATGTCCACTGACTGCAGTTAACACTTTGCATGCTTCCACTCTGGCAATTTATGAGCTGAAGAGCTCCAAACAGAGCTGAGTTTTCTCAAATGATTTACCAAAAACGTATTTTCCCCATTAGTTAATTTTTCCTGCAGTATTTATTCTACGTTGTACGATGTACTGCTGCCAACTAACAGAGCCTCTACATTTTAGTGAATAAATTAGAGCTGTGTGACAAAATACAAGACAAATAAATTCACAAGAGTGTGAACTCTGCTGAAAAACTGAAACTGAGTTGTTGAACTAAAAAAAGATCACTAACTAAATTAAAAAGGCAAAATGCTAGCTAAAAGCCAAAAGTAGCAAATTCTTAGCTAAAAGAAACAAAACATCAACTAAGGACTAAATGTTGCAAAAGGCTAGCTGAAAGCTAAAAAGTGCAAAATGCTATATAAAAGCTAAAAGTAGCTAAATGGGAGCTAAAATCCTAAATTAACAAACTAGATAATAGTAGCTTAACACTAGCCAAGATTTAAAAGTAGCACTGCAGTTTCTGACAGAGGTGTCTGAGCGTAGGATGCTGAGGAAACTGCTCCAGATCCTGAACAACACGTCACACCCCCTGCATGACAAACTGGACTCTTACTGCAGCTCCTTCAGTCGTAGACTGAACCCACCGAGGTGCTGCACAGAACAACACAGGAAGTTCTTCCTCCCTGTGGCTATCAAACTTTTCAACTCCTCCCCCTTTCTGCACAAAGGACAATAAATTAATCCTGCACCACAATAAACACTTTAATGTTTCAGTCCACATCTGACCTGTTTTGGACCTTAATTGTTGGTATCTTTATACAGCTCTGTTATTTTTATATCTTGTGTGATTCCTTGTGCATGTTCCTTTGTACTGAAACTCTGGCACAACAATTTCTTGTGATATCAGTAAAGTTCTATCTTATCTTATCTTATCTTATCTTATCTTATCTTATCTTGTCTTGTCTTGTCTTGTCTTGTCTTGTCTTGTCTTGTCTTGTCTTGTCTTGTCTTGTCTTGTCTTGTCTTGCTAAAAATGTGCTAAATGCTATCACAGAGTATTGAAGTGAAAGCCAGCAGACGTTAAATAATAATAATAAAATAATCATTTTATTTAAAACGTGCCTTTCATGACACCCAAGGACACTTTACAGTAAGATCAACAGGAATAAATTACATAAAAGAATATAAAATACATAAAGAATGTAAAATACATAAAGAATGTAAAATACATAAAGAATGTAAAATACATAAAGAATATAAAATACATAAAGAATATAAAATACATAAAGAATGTAAAATACATAAAGAATGTAAAATACATAAAGAATATAAAATACATAAAGAATATAAAATACATAAAGAATGTAAAATACATAAAGAATGTAAAATACATAAAGAATATAAAATACATAAAGAATATAAAATACATAAAGAAT